ACACATGTTTGTACAGGAGGTGTTACACACACATCCTTATTCTTCCATCAAACAGAGGACATTTTCCCTAATCCTAACCATTACTAATCTATTACCAACCTTAACCAAAACTTCATTCACACCATCCCTCTAAACTAACTAGTAGAGCGCAGTAGATCTGTGTCCTCACTTTACTGGTTAAAAAAAAATCATGATATTCCTCACTCTGTAACAGAAACAAGTACACACACACACACACACACACACACACACACACACACACAGACTCTTCACTGTCTTAATTTAACCATTTTTTCCTGCCTGTTCTTTCAGAAACCACGGATCACGGATCAAGTCAAAGTGACAAGTGAGTGGAGCGTCTCTGACCTCGCAGCTCTGATCAGATCTCTCCATCTGCGAGCTGAACATGACGTCTAACGCTCTGTGTTTTGTTCTCYCTCCGCATGTTTACGTGTTCTGTCGCTCGTCAGCAGCAGCGGCGGCCTCGCAGCGACGCAGAAGGAGAAGGTGAAGGGCAAAGATGAGACATACTGGAAGGAGATCAACGCCGCCATGGCCTTGACCAACATGGCGCAGGGGAAGGACAGCGCCTCGGGGACGACCAGCTGCATTATTCAGAAGTCCTCTCATATAGCTGAGATCAAGACTGTTAAAGTGCCACTGGTGCAGAAATATTAACTGGGACCGCTTCCTCTCCACTTTCTATGCAAAGCAGCAAACATTCCTCTTTAAGAAACTCACCAGAGTCCAAATCAGCTCCTCCTGAATCAAAACAACTCTGGTTTAAGGAGGGCAAAGGGGGCATTTCAAGAAGAGAAAAAACTTTTTCTGTTTGGTCTTTTTGAAAAGTTTCAAGACCATTTTTTTTAAAAACAAAGTTTTTGTAATAACTTATTTTTTATGAGTTTTTTATTCCTTATTTTTAAGTTACAAATGTTGAATTTGCCAAAGTGCCTATGATTGTTTTATTTTAGACGATGAACTGACTGATTACCAGCTAACTGAACCCACTCCAGCTCACCCAGAAGCCTCTGAGTTTCTAAAGAAACCTCATTATTCAGGRTTTGTTGTGTGGCTGAAAACTTCCTGTAACATCTTGTGCCTTAAAGATGAACTGAACTCAGCATCAAACAGCACTTATCTGCGCACACACACACACACACACACAGAAAACACAAGTTTTCTTCCTCTGCACCTCAGTGTCGACTCGGCCTTGGGTTTCAGCAGCCAGCAGAGGATTCTTCTCTTATCTGAGCTTTCAGCAGCTGAAACGTGAACGAGCTCTCAGCTGGACCCAAACGAGGACGCAGACAAACAGATTTGTGTCKAAGGTTCATCAGAAAGAAGGCCGTGACCTAAAAGGGATGTTTTTACTTTGGATCATCAGAGACTTACGTGGACAGTTTTGTGTTTTTATGTTTGTCTTCAGAACAAGATGATCTGAAATGAAGGAAAACAAGAAGAAGCTGTTTTATCATCAGRTTCAGGATTAAACTCAAGTTTTCTTTATTTYAGACTCTTTTCATGTCAGTATTAAATCTTTGTCAGCCATGAAGTGTTCAGAGTTTCTTCTGTCTGATTGTTTTTTCTGACTGGATCACTATAAGATCAACATTTGTGCTCCAGTGGAAAAAAAACTCCTTAAAACCAAGGACTTACTGTGCAAATGTTTTAATCATTGCAGGTGAAATAAGCCGAGCTCCATCTGGGAGAAATCAAGTCCAATTCTTGAAAACAGCTGAAGTTCTGAGCAGAAGTTTTAATTTTATACATTTTTTATGTTCATGTGTGTCAGAATGTTTCATTAAATAAAAAAATGGATTTTATTATCCTCAGACTGTAGTTCTGGTCAAGGACTCTGAGAGRAAAGTTGCACAAAGTGACTTTTATTGGATCTTAAATGTGCAAAATTATTTTTTTAAAGCTGCACTTAAAGTTTTCTGTGGAGACATTTGAACAAAACAGTGAAGAAAAGTCAAAAGAWTGACGGACAGCTCTGTAAGAACTCACATCTTGTGCCTCTGGAAGTTTGAACTTTATGTGGTGGGGGTCCTGGGCCCCCCACATGTGGTTTCTGTCCAGCCGATCCAGGCAGGGTAGAACCGGACCTGTGCCTCGTGTTCCTAAACGCACCTTTGAACCTCACACAGACCAGTTGCATGCTGGGAAAAAACAAGGACAGCAGGAGTTTGAAGAAAGGGGGTCTCTGCAGACACGACTTTGGTTCTGGACTTTCTGCAGCTGCTTTCAGAACCAGACGGACTCGTAGAAACAAGGTTTTCATTAAAGCTTCTAAGTTATGATTCTGTCACAGTGAAGAAAGTGGCGACCTTAGTTTGTTTTTCTTGTTAACTTATAGAAATTGTTTTTGTTGATTTGAACGGAGGCTGGATTTTCAGTCCAATGATGGAACACATATCTCCTTGTTTTGTCTGATTTGTTCTCATGTTCAGTTTCTTTTAGAACAGTTGGAACTTGGTCACAGCAGTGAATAAAAATCTGATGGAAATCAGAGACATGTTGTTGTTTATGTTTTCTTTTTGCAAAGCTGAGTCACGTTTATAGACTGATTTCACCTCCTAGTTGTATCTTCCTCAGGGGTCAGTCGACCTTCTCCTTCCTGTGTATTAATGAGTCCACCATGGCCTTCCTGCTCCAGAACCTGAGCTCTGACACCAAGACCTTCATCACACCATGACAGACAGAGAGAGGAAGAAACCAGGAAAAAGAAGTGATCTTGAAAATAAAGATGTTTTTTTAAAGCTGTCAGCAGAGAGAGGACTTGAGAGCAACAGGTGTTAGAGGTCTGATGAGTTTTCTTCTGTCAGTCTGATCTCATCATGATGCAGCCTGTTAGACTCCAAACAGC